TTTCTAGGGATGCATGAGAACCCCATGTATTTTGATGGCGATCTGGGCAGCTTTGTTTCAAAATGCTTTGATGTAAACATGTTTCACAACTCGAGGGAGCACGAGTACATGTAGTATGGTACACAATAGTCGGCAAGCTGAACCACCTCCTCGTGGTGCCAACCGGGTAGCATGGACGTCTGTCTGGGTGAGCTAAGAGTTCAGCAACTCCAGACAGGGCCAACCACCCCGTTTGGTTTCAATGTGCTGGTTACTTTCGACAATGTATACTACGAATCATCTGGCGCCTCCGCACCAGTTCCAACCAGTACACAGGAGAGACTCGTTGGGTTCACGTGTGAGGAATGTGATAAGTGCTGCAAATCGAAAGCTGGCTTGGTAGCCCTTCATCGAGTTCACAACAATGAAAGTGTTGGTACGAACACAGTCGCCCAATTGGCTTGCGCTGATTGTTCCCGCCTTTTTCCGACGAAGATTGGCCTGAGTCAACACCGCCGGCACGCACACCCCACCCAGCATAATGCAGATAAGCTTGGCCGAGTGAAGTATTCCGGTACCCGCTGGTCCCAGCAAGAGTCACAATCGCTCTTACGCCTGGCTAACAATTTATATCCATCTTGTGGCACGCAAACCGAGCTGTTCACGAGATTGGAGCAGTATTTTCCTGGTCGATCGGCTATCAGCATCAAAACCAGGTTACGGGTGCTTAACTGGCAAGCACAACAGGACGAATCATCATCTGGTGAACCTGAGCAAACTATCGGTCAGACGACGGCCTACTCATCAGAAGCCGATGACTACAGCGTCTGGTTTAAACAAACCGTGGATTGCACCGTGTCACTCTTGGAATCCCATGCTGACCGTTCGCTCGCTAGTGTTGACCTTCTGGCATTTGCCCGAGGGTTGCAGTCTGGCATCATGACACCGGAGCAAGTCCTGTCGCTTCTGGACCTCCACGCCTCCAGGACATTTCCACACACCTGGAAAACTGTTTCCCGACGTCGCCGTCAGTTAGCCCATCGGATCCCGGTCAACCGGAAGCAGATCCGCCGAGCCAATTACGCCGCCATCCAGACTCTATACCACCAAAGACGGAAAGATGCAGCGTCTGCTGTACTCGATGGGTCATGGAAGGATTTATACAAAGGAAACTGCGGCCTACCTACGGACGCCGAACAGTATTGGAAACAAGTGCTCTCAGCTCCAAAACACGCGGATAGCCGACCAAGTCGCATAGTAGTACCATCCGACTGGGGCTTGATCGAGCCAATTACAGGAGAGGAAGTTGGCCGTACGATCCGTTTAATGAGCAATTCGTCCCCAGGCCTGGACAAGCTCACACCCAGGACGCTCCGCCGGTTCAATGCTAATTTGCTCGCTGGGTAAGAGACGTTTCTCTCTTTTCTCCCATATTCTCCTGTTACTCTTTCGCATTCATCGCTTGCACTCACTTTTTTGTGACCAAGCTCTTCAAAAATAAATGATAATATGAAGAATATTACAGTATAGTTGAAGCCGCATCAAAGAATGGAGATCACAAGGAATTGCCTGATACCGAGGCTGACATATTTGCTTGTGCTCTGCCAAGTCCACCGAAACACGCTCAAAAGGTTGGGCAGTTACATCAGGCAATCTATTATTAACTGGCTACGTCTACCGAAGAACACACCGAGCAGCTGCATCAACGCCGGTAAACAACATGGGGGACTCGTCACCCAAAGTCTGAGTGTAACCACTCCAGTGCAGCGGAGAGCGCGTATGGAAAGGTTTCTATATGCCCAGTTCCGAGTACTAGGAACATGGCGTAGAGTGTATATTATTGCCATTGACTTTCACAGCAGACCGAGTATGAAGGACACTGTGCCTGATATGCGAGTCTTGACTGTACTAACGCTTACCGCGCCTTGAAGAGCATTCAATATTGTTTGTCCTTTCTTCGGTTGTTGGTCTTTACAAGCGTGTTTTCATACCAAACATTCTTACATACTTTGGGATTCAGCTTGTCTGACTGGAGCTGCTGGTGCCATGACTTCGAATGAGATGCTTCTCTCGTATTATCTAATATTCTTTGTAATCCCTCCACATCTATCGCTTGCATTTATTTTTATGTCTGACTCCACGTCCTTAGAATGAATGAATGAATGAATAAATAAATAAATAAATGAATAAACAAATAAATAAAATAAATAAATAAACATTACGGTATATTAAATCATGGTGTAGTGTATCACAATAAGTACAGTGTGGTATAGTATAGAACAGCATATGGTATAATACTGTATACAGTATAGTATGGTATAGTATAGTGTAGTATAGCACAGTATGGTACAATGTATCGCACAGTGGCGTGTACTGTAGTACAACATACCAAATTATGATGTAGTATAAGAAGACGACAGTCTTGGCAGATTTTTCTGATGCTTTGGAAAGGATGCGCTTGAAACAGCATGACTGTCTCTTTCCAGGAATTTTCCTAATCAAGTACTACAATCAAAGCCATATACCAACTGTTAGGCGGAATTCCACACGGATCCCTCCTTACCACTCGCACTCAGGTGCTGCTACGGCCGAGAAGTCCATCCCACGCAAGATTGGCGCAGCTACAGCCAAATAGGAAAGGAAGACTGATGATCCTGTTTGCCGTCAAGAAGTTTCATGAAATGCTCTACGGCGGTCAGTTCACTCTACTAGTCGATCATAAGCCACTCCTTGCTGTGTTTGGCTCGAAGAAAGGAAGCTCGGCACATACTGCCAACCGCCTCCAGCGATGGATCACTGCTTCTGGGATATGAATTCAAGATCAAGTACCAGTCCACTACTAGCCTCGGACAAACCGACACACTGTCGCAACTCATTGATACAAGTAGGCCGGAACCAGAAGACACCGTAGCCTCAACAATTGCCCCGGAACCGGAGATTAACCAAGTAGAATCGAAATCGATTCGCATCCTCCCAGTGACTGCCGACATGGTCCGCCAGGCTACCTACCAGGACCCTGTGCTGCAGCAAATCATTAGGTACCACAGCAATCAGTGACCGCGTATCTGCCCAAAAGACGAACTGAGACCTTACTTCAACCGGCGTGACGCACTCTCACTAGCCGACGGATGCCTTTTTTTCAGAACGTGTTGTCATCGCAAATAAGTTACAATTAGCTGTCCTGAACCAGTTTCACAAAGGGCACCCGGGAACAAACACGGTGAAGGCCCTCGCTCGGAGTTACGTCTACTGGTCTTTGATGGACTCCCAGATCGAGCAAGTCTCAAAATCGTGCCTGTGGTATGCTGAAGCATCCAAGTCACTCGTGAAAACCTACTTACGGTCGTGGCCGCAGCCGCTCGAACCCTGGTCTCGCCTTCACATCGACTATGCAGGTCCAGTGGGCGGTCGATGCTTACAGAAAATGGCCGGAAAATTTCCCAGTGAACAGTCCCATTACTGCCACTACAGTTCAGTCGCTTTGGAATACCAGAGACTATTGTATCAGACAACCGCGGACAGTTCACGTCGACTGCGTTCGCAAACGTTCTTCGGGAGTATGGCCTAACACATGTCGCTGTCTTTGATAATGATGATAATTGATAATTGATAATGATGATGATGATGTCCGCTCGCCGCCGTTTCATCCACAGTGGAACGGTCAAGCGGGACGCTTTGTTGACAGTCTGAAGCGAGCACTTCAGAAGTCCAGAGGGGAAAGACCCATGGAAGAGATTTCGCAAAGGTTCCTGCAGGCATATCGAGCGACGCCAAACCCCAACTCACCTGATGGGGTGTCATTAGCAGATGCACTGCTCCGAAGGAGGCTTCGAACACCGCATGACACTATCCGGCCTCAAAAAAGACAGGCTAGTCACTGCAACACCAGAATGGAGGAACAGTTCGACTGGCATCATGGAGCAACTGCGCACTTATTCAGCGAAGGCCAGAAAGTGTTGGTTCGTGACTACAGCGGCAGACACCCTACGTGGACCCCAGGACTCATCCTTCGCCGGCGCGGCAAAGTGCTCTATGAGATTCAAGTTGGTCCAGTCAAGTAGATACGCCACATGAACCAAATCCGGCCGACAGTTACGCAGATCCTGCTCACAGGACCGAGTGATTTGAGTCTAGAAGTGCTTCTGGACACTTTTGATCTTGGCACCATCCCAGAAAATCAATCAGTTGCTTCGTCTGAGGCTCAGACTGAGCACCGGAGTACAAACATGACGCTGGACAGACAGGATCAGCAAGCCAGTGAGGTCACTGCAAGAGAACCCTCGGCTTCGACGTTACAACAAACTTCAGGGGGGGGAGGTGTTAGGCGGAGTTC